AGGAAGTAGCCATTGTTCATGAGGCCCGAATGTAGCCCAAATGCAAACTATTTTTGCAAAACAAATGGGAGAGTATGAGTATCTGACCGCACTCTCAAACAGTGTTATATACGTTTCCATGACAACCTATGATACATGAATTATAAGTATAGGTAATAGCATGATTTGTAGTGATATTTGGCATAAATACCACAAGTGATATTTCGAAATTGTTATACGTAATCTCACGAGCCGTAATAAGGTGAGTGAAATTTGAGGCAATTTTGAAATATCACGAGCGGTACTTACAGTATGCCAAATATCACTTACAAATCATTCTAGTATTTCTTTATACTGCTACCCGCGAAAGGTTTGTGGTTTTCACATGTAGGTATTTCACTGCTCTAAGCCAATAAAATTGCAGAAATTTCTCACGTAGTAGAAAATAAACGAAACGCAGAACGGAAGAAGCAGTAAAGGGAGCAGTAACCGCAGTAATGAGTAATGGCGGCACATCCGGAATTCGTAAGGAAAAGCGGATGGCCTCAGACCACGCATAACAGAAACTATGTTTGCAAATTGGCACGTTGGGAACATTGGACGACTACATACAGCACAAACTTACTGATTAACGCGTCACACGTGGGAGTTCATTGGAGGTAAAGGAACTCGCTCATATCGAAAAGAAAATAAGCAGACTGAATGTTTTCTGAGTCAGAGCTCGCCTTTTTGGCCTTTGTTTTCATCGTTACACTTGGCTGTTTCATGCTGGGAAGAAGACGAACAGACTGTCCTCCAGTAAGAAGGCCTAAGAAGAAGAAGCGCAAAAGAGTGAAATGTAACCACTGCAGTTTACACGGTCAGAACAAGAACAAGCGGCCCCCAGAAGAAAACGATGACGACGAATCTTATAACAGTCGTGGCACCTTGTTCAGGTAGGATATTTAATGTTACTAGTTAGATTTAATGTTATTTATCTTGCAGTAATAGCGTTACTAACATCCTTCTCTTTGGCGATTCTTTTTTTTTTTTTTTCACTGCTATCATATTGATCAACTGGTCAATAAAAAGATGTACCTAGCAACAGGCTAACAAAATCTTACAGCTTTACAGTCAACAAAATACCGCAAGGGTTAATGTTAGCTTCATTTACGTGATGTTGGCGTCTTAAGTGAGTATCAGAACAAAGACCAAGAACTAAACGAATATATTTATTTAAAAAAAATAAGAGAATGTTCTGTTTATTCTGATCTACTTTGCATCCGTTTCTTCCAGGATCATATAAAGAGGAACTTTTAAAGTGGAGCGTACATGACGGCCTCCTGCACGAATGATATTGGACCAGGACAAACGGTTTTTCTCTTGCTACAAACTATTTCTAATGAGCTGGAAAATTAAAATATAATAGGCCACTAAAGGTGGTAAAACTAAGCTGGAAATTAGAACTAATGTGCTCTTTTGGTTTCGGTAAAGTATAAAAAAGAAGTCGGAAGCAGTGTACAATCTCATTATGGGTTATTTCTACTCAGTATTTATTTTCTCCTTTTAAAGGGACCACGATTCTTGTTTAAAGTTAACAAAACAGCGTTTCTGACTGATGACCCTCGAATGTCGATCCTGTCTTGTAAAAAAATATAGGCGCGCCTTTGATTATGCACATCGTGTTCTAAGCACAATATCTTAGGAAACCCAGAACAACATACATGTACTATAGTAAAGGGGTACGTCAATGTGATACACATTATCCACGGAAACCTAGGACAGCTACTTCGAAAGGAGAGAATATCCAAGAAGAACGGGAGATTCACTCTACCATTTTCCTTATCTTTCATCTCTTATCTTTAAACTGTGTTTACAATTATTTTTAGAATTATCCTGAAGACTTCTACCATCATCTAAGCTTCTATATTGGCCCTTTTTTAATCTCCTCATCGTCACAATGTCAACCATGAGAATGGAGTTCTTAGAAAACGTCGATTTGCATGCGCAAGCTTCTCTGTAGTTTCGTTCGTGTTTCGAGCGTCGTTCTTCAAAATGCGGGCCTGTTTATATAGCAGTTAACGAAAAGTAAAAGAGACAGCTTTAGATCAAATAAAACTGAAATTTACTGATTAGAGGAGAAAATCACGCGCTTGCGAAGTCAACTTGGTAAAGTAAATTGTTTAGTATATTAAAATGATCTAAACTTAATGCTTTTAAGGAAGTTCCACGGTCAAAAGAAACAAGTTTCTCACTGACAAAATCAAGACTGCGAAAGATTCAAATATTCTCCCTGTACACCAAAGGACACCTAATGGGAAAGCTGGGTGGCGTCTTTGAAGTTTTAACCTAACTTCAATCCGTTTCATAAATCTTCTCATCTGTTGCTCATTAGCGCCCCTTCAGTGCTTAACGACAAAATATTTCAGTCGGTTACATGACCTGTTGGCAAGCGCTGAAATTTTCAGAAGTGGTTAAAAAAAATAAAACGGCAGACAGACAGACAGACAGACAGACAAAGAACAAGTGTAAAACTGTGAAATTGTTTTGACTCTCCGGCTGACGAATAGGCTGCAACAGGGTCGAAAAAGTTCAAAGTAGCGATTGAAGTTGTTTCCCTTAACCGTTCAATCCCTAAGATCAACATTTGAATTCTCATTTGTTGCCCCTATTCATGTCTTACAGAAGTAGTGGGAAGAAGTTGATAAAATATCAAGCAAATGCATCTTCAACCAGTATGGGTGAATGCGATGTATTTTTTGCTTGTTTCAGTCTCCGTTGCCGTTCATGTTTTTTTTCTTCACATAGGAAGTGATGACGAAGGCAAAAATGTTAATTTTCCAATTTGCCTGTGTCATCAAGTTGTTTTTATGTATCGCATATCGAGGGGCTTTGTAACACTGAGAGTCTTGTAAATAGATTATCCGATGATAGTTCCTGACGGGGGAGTAAATCAGCCAATCAGAGACTGTATATGATCGGCGGGGAATCCCCTAATAAAAAAATGAAGGCACAAGGCAGTCTTTTTTTGTTGTTCAACATTTACATGGGCAAACCGGTCGGTTCACGGTTTGGCAAATGGAAAGCAAAACTCGGTATCTGAAAATTTCATTGCGGAATCGCGTTTATCATTTGCACAAATTTATATCATTTACCGACAACTGCCGCGAAAACAAAACAAAGTTTTTTTTTACCATAACTGAGTGAATACTCGCGCGCTGATTTGTCAAGAGCTACGGTCTATGAGAGAATAGACCATGGAAATGACGTAACATGTCACGCAGTGCCGGTTATTTTGTTTTTGGTTTTTCGTAAAAAAATAAATGTTATTGTAAAAAACAAATCGACCACAATTTTTCATGGTCTACACTCCATAGAAATGACGCCATAAAATGTTCAAAACTTTGCAGTGAAACCACTCGTCCGCGGCTCGTGGTTCCACCCGAGTTTTGAACATTTTATGACGTCATTTCTATGGAGTGTAGACCATAGAAAACTGTGGTCGATTTGTTAAACATTCAATAAACTGACGGAAATTTATTAGAGTTGAAACTGTGCGAGCTACATCAATCGCTTACTGGGTCAAACCGATAATTTTTTGGGTGCTTTCCGACTGGTTTAATATAAAGTTGTTTGGCACGTTAGGCCGCGCAAGATTCAAAGATTTTCCCTGCATACACAAGGACACCTGTAAACAGTGGAACAGTTTTTTCCAATTTACCTAACTTCATTCCGTATTAATGTTGTGACGTGCTGCCCTTCGCGCCCTTAAATGCTTAAAGGCATTTCAGGCAATTGGCTAGTCTCCAAATTTACAGAAAATGGCCTTGACGTGGCCAAGCTGAATTTTAGAACTGATCATAGACATTAAGGGCCTGTTTACATGAAGGTGGGGGACCCCAGGTAACCCGCCTGTCCATATAATCTCTCATTTTAATTTGATCACGTTTACATGATAGCTGGGTGACCCGCCACATGTTACCTCACCCATCTGGGGTCCCCGAACCTCCGTGTAAACAGGCTCTAAAAAGACATATACAGTGCTTCAGTAAGGAATTATACAGGACTGAACTCATCAATAGCCATCAATTTAAGTTTGCTTCAACATTTTTTTGTGTACTCAGGGACATCTAACTGTAATGCCCTCTTATATAAAATTTTAGAGTGTAAATGATATTAACCGAATGGAATAGAAAAATGCTTTTGTTAGTAAAAATGCGCCATTCGTAATTTAACAGTGCTATTGCTTAGGTTAATATTACCATGGTTTAATCGCTGAGGTATGAAACATAAAACTAACAGCCCGTAAGGGTCAACCGAATCTGAAATTATCCTAACACTTGCTCGAAATGAAGTTCTAGATTGTTCACCATTTGCTGCATAACAAAATGAGCAGGCGTTTTACAGTGCGACTATTGTAACCGGGGCCACTTAGACAAAGTTGACCGATCGGATTACAGAAAAATAACAATACACTCCAAGAAAGTCGGTTGTCGGCCAACCAGCTGTTCGTAAAAAAAAAACAATAAGTTACTCGAAGCACGCCAAATTTAATATTGACAGCAAACGTTTTTAGGGAAAGCAAAATGTTTCACCAGACAATGTTTTTCTATTCGAAACTTTGCATACACCACCTAGGATTCACATTTCTTTGACACAAGCAGTTATTTTGTAATCTACCAGCAATGTCTTTGTCCCTATTGCCGCGCTTTGCAGTTACATGCGACCGCAAGTCAAAAATATAACTGCCGTTTACGCTTTTCGCCGCCGTCATTAACTCAACGGATTCCTCGGGAAACACGTGCTTTCTTTCTTTCTTGGTTGATTTCGATTCGTGTTGTTTATTTCGTTTCGTGGTAATTATGATTGACAACTAACTTTCTCGGAATGTATTGTTATTTTCCTGTCATCCGCTTGGTCAACTTTGTCTAGGTGACCCCGGTTAAAGTAGGTCGCACTGTATTATATGTGCAGTGAGGCCAGCCTAATCACATTTCAGTGTGGTTCTACACCGTTCTATGAAAGACAACAAAGCAGACTGAATGTTTCCCGACTTAGCTGTGGCCTTTATGGCCTTTGTCTTCATTTTTGCTTTGGCCTGTATACTGTTGGAAAGAAGAAACTGTAATACTTCAGCAGCAAAAACGCCAAAGAGGAGGCCAAAAAGACGCAAAACAGTGACCAGAAGGCATTGCGAAGATCATCACGGCTTTACTGGTCGGCGAGGGCCCGAAGAACACAGCGACGACGAAAGTTACAACCCGCGTGGAAAAATAACCAGGTAAGACTGCCAAATTCATTTAATGGTTATAATCACCCTTCCCTTTCGTATTAATATCATATCGACAAACTAATCGAACGACTGGCTGAGGAAAATTAAAAGCTGTTTAAGGTCAACAACAGAGACACTTCAGATCAACACCTACAAATTTAAAGTTTGTTTGATTTCCCGTGGACTTTTGACTAAGCGAAGAATTGAAAAAAAAGAAGAAGAAGAAGAAGAAGAAGAAGAAGAGGGACAAAAGCGTTGAAAAGTCCTGACGTGGAGGTTTTTTTTTTCTTTTTTTAGAATCATGTGAACAGAGGATTCATGTAGCCATGCGTATTTCAAGATAGACACAAAGAGGAACAACTGAAATTGAACAATCTAACTAGACTCTAACTGAAGTTAGACGCAATAGTAAAGTTTACGTACAGTCTAACTAGAACCCCTGTTACCACTACTTGCCAAATACTTGACTCAGAGAATACATTCAAGATAAATATACTTGTGAAGGGAAATTGTAAGGGCTGCTGGCACTTTTATTCTTTTCTGATTGGTTGTCAATGACATCACAGTATCCGTAAATGTCCGGGGACTCCCCGAGATATTGAGCCCAAATCGAAATTAAATATTTCCTTCTATTTAATGCAACACACGCCACTTTGGAGGTCTAAATTTCGGATACTGGGGATAAAGAAGGCACTGACAAAGGAACTTTGAGAATTTGGCACACAAGTTCAAAGCTTCACCGGGTCATCCGATCCGGGAGCTTCGATAACGAAGACCAACTCATTGAGGAGTTTATACTCTTCCTTTTGTCATGCTGATATCAGCAGTTAACAACCCCCTGAGATTTATGAACAACCGCAAAGTTTATCTTCGAACTTTTTTTAGCAAGGTTTGAGAATTAGTGAATCATGAATAGGAAAAGGCTGAAGTATGATGTTTTAAGGTTAGAAGCACGAGGCCTTAGCACTCTAGCAAAGTATTATTATTGGGAAAGATCTCTACATTTATTCTCGTAGGATCATGTGGGGAGAAATATATGGCCATGTAGCTGTTTACGAATGATAGCTGGCTATACCGACGAAAGACATCACTCAAGAATTTTATAGGACTGAGCCTGAACGATTTAAAGTACCTGTTAGCTACAAAAGGCTATTTTAGAAATCCAACTGCTTCACTAAAGCGATTTAATAACCTCTGCGTATATAATGAAATTGATTCACGTTTACCATAACTGTAACACTGAAATTTAGACTGACAAAAAAATTAAAAATAAATAAATCAGTTAGTGAATAAATTCATGATAAACATATTTGTGCTCAGGAAACTTGTAAGAGCCGCTATGCTACTTTTATTTTAGTCAAAAGCCAGCAAAATCGCCATATTCTACGCCACTATGCTACATCGCGTCTTATCAAATAATCCTGGTAACACACGAGTCACTCATTAGTAAGCCCTTCGTTGCATAAATTCCATGCGTTCCATGACCTAAAACCGGCAGAGGCCAGCAACGAAAATAATCTATCTACATGCTCAATATCAATTCCCATGCAGCAGGAGCGGCCGATCGGTTCAGAATTCTTTTGGCCACTCATTTGCATTGAGTTGACTTCATATAAGAAACTTCCTCTGCAATATTCGTGGTAAGTAAATCAGTTTGCGAAACTCGAGAAAAAAATAAGAGGCCTGAATGGCGTTTCCTGAGGCAGAGTTGGTCTTTTTGGCATTAATCTTCATTTATGCTTTGGGCTTCTTGATGCCGTTGCTGGGAAAGAGAAACAATAGCTCAACAGTAAAGAAAACAAAAAAGAAGAGAAAGGGGCGCAAAAGAGCGACACGAAGACACTGTGAAGACCATCAGTACAGGACTCGACGAGGACCTGACGAGAATGACGACGGAGAACCTTATAATCCTCGTGGCACAATACTCTGGTGAGACCTTTTAATGTTGCTGCTGTTACTTCACCATGCATTTCTTGAAGCAATGACAATTTATACTCTTCCCTTTTGCCACACTGGTATCAGCAGTTAACAACCCCCCTGAGATTTATTAATAACCGCAAAGTTTATCTTTGAACGTTTTTTCGCAAGCTTTGAGAATTAGTAAATAATAGGAAAAAGAGGAAAGACGATGTTTTAAGGCTACTTAGCACACTAGCCGGCAAAGCATTATTATTGAGAAATATCTCTGTATTTTACTCTTCTAGGATCATGTGAAGAGAAATAAATGACCATGTACACTGTAATTTTCAGGGAGTTATAATAACTCCTCTAGTGGGGCTAATTTAACTCCTGACAGTGGAGTTATTTTTCGTGGAGTTATTTTAACTCCAAAAAGGAGTTTAAAGAACTCTTTTTCAGGAGTAAAAGTGACCCCAGATATTGAGGAGTTAAAATAACCCCAAAAAAGGAGTTATCCTGTACCTAAAATTTTTACTCCACTTTCAGAGTTAAATTAACTCCAAAAAGAGTAAAAACAACCCCTGTAAGGAGTACAAGTAACCCCACTTCGGAGTAATTTTAACTCCAAGACTGGGAGTAAAAAGAACTCTTTTTCAGGAGTAAAAATGACCCCAAATTCGGAGTTAAATTAGGAGTTAAAATAACCCCAAAAAAGGGGTTATCCTGTACCTAAAATTTTTACTCCATTTTTGGAGTTATAATAACTCCCTAAAAATTACGGTGTAGCTGTTTACGAACGATTACTGGTTACATAGACGGAAGAAATCACTCAAGAATTTTATAGGACTGAGCATGAACGATTTTGAAGTACCTGTAGCTACAAAAGCGCATTTTAGAAAATCTAACTGCTTCACTATTAATAACGATTTAATATTAAACCTCTGTATAATAAGAAAGAGAAATTGCAAATGTGAACTAGAAAAAATGTGACCAATATATGAACAATCGGTATAACTTAGTTCGCGATTAGCTGGGTTTTTTTCTTTCCTACGTAAATTACTTTACTTTGAATATATACTAAATGATTTCATGATTGGTTTATTCCATTTCTTTCCTTTAAAATTGGTGTAGCGGATTTAAAATTTAAAATTTAAGCCTTTCCTTCACAATATAAATGGTTTTAAAAAGGCCATGACATTTTCCAGCTTTTCGTACACATGCATATAAAATAAATGCATAATTAATTTCTCCTATTTATTCTGTTTATTGTTTTATAAGTAGGAGCCAATGTAAAGCTGGCAGGTGTAGGAAAGAAATATGACCTCACTCAAAACCAAACAAGGCCACCTGTTAAATCATCTAGAAAATCAAATACATGCCCCTTATAAGGCTTTTCTCGTAGCCTCCGGGTTTCCGACATCTATACAATAAGACTTTTTATTGGGCGCGTAGTGGAAATTAACCAAAAAAAAAGGCCGGACCCTACGCAGTGGCGGATCCAGGGGAGGGGCCCAGGGGGCCCGGGCCTACCCCTTTCTTTTTAGACCAAAAGGAGGCCCGAAGGGCCGAAAAAATTTCTTTTGGAGACCGCTCCCTCCCCCCTCCCCCCTTGTATCAGCAAAGTTGGCTTAGAACGGGGCACTAATGCAGAAATTCTTGTGCATAACTGTTGTAGCTCCTACGTCATTCTTACTTTGGGAGCACACTTAAGAGTAAACCCTAGATATCGCGTGATAAAAGTACTGCTAGCAACTACAGTGAAACCTCTATTAAGCGGACGCCTTCGGGACCTTCCCAAGTGTCCGCTTAATAGAGGTTCGTAAAAATTGCGCAGTGTTTGTTAACGATTAATATTCAACGGTAACTCTGTCCTGTGATGAAGTTGCATGTTGTTAAAGAAGCTATCCAGAGTTCAAGTTCATTACCTTTCATTACCAACTTTAATTTCAATTGTTTGTAAATGCAAAAATATTAGCTGACTTCAGTCCGTATTTCAATGACGTAATCAAATACTAGAAATTAGCCAAATACAATTTATTTTAAATACTACTAGCCATTTCAATTTATTTAAGTTTCCGCGTTCGCTTAATGATACTGAATTATTAGCCAGTAGCCATGCAATATCATATCAAACGAAAGCACGTCATATCCGGATAAACGGAAACAAAATGATTTGGTCGGTTGGTTGGTTGAATTGAAGACAGTTTATAGTACGACGTTGATGAAAGGTAGTCCCACCTTCTGTGTGAGTTCACGAGTGACCAAATTCCATTCTATTAAAAACAAGTAAGAGCGGACTGAATGTTTTCTGACTGCTTAGCGTTGTCCTTCGTGGTCTTGGTGTTCATTTTTGCCTTGGCCTGCATAATGTTGGAAAGAAGAAATTGTTATACTTCAGCAGCAAAAACGCCAAAAAAGACGACAGGAAGCGGCAAAAGAGTGACCAGAAGCCATTGCGACGGCTATCACTTTACTGCTCGGCGAGGGCCCGAAGAACACAGTGACAACGAAAGTTATACAGCCCGCGTGGAAAAATATTCAGGTAAATCTGCCAAATTCATTTCATGGTTATAATCACCCTTCCCTTTCGTATTACTGTCATATCGATCAACTAATCGAACGTCTGGCTGAGGAAAATTAAGAAGAAGAAATAACAATAACAGAGAGACTTCAGATCAACATCTACAAATTTAAAGTTTGCTTGATTTCACGAGGTCTTTTTGACTGAGCGAACAATTGAAAAACAAAGATGACATTTTAAAAGTCCTGATGTAGATTTTCTTTTTCCTTTTTTAGGATCATGTGAACAGAAGATTCATCTGGCCATGCGTATTCACAAGATACACGGAAGACAATCTGAAATTAAACAACTCAACTGAAGCTAGACGCAACAGCGAAGTTTACAAAATCTAAATAGAATAATCCTGTTTCCCCGTGAGCAACAAAATGTGCAACCTCAAAGCACAAATTAGAAGGTCCTAAAAATACGTTTCGTCAACAGAAACTACCGCAAATTAACAAGACAATCGTCAAAAGAATAAGTCACAGGTCATTATTGTCACAGAATCCATAACAAGAAAAAAACATAACTAAATTAAACAAATAAAAATCATGATGATGATATTAATGCAATTCCACGAAGCGTTAAGTTAATTTGTAACGCAGATGCATAAACAGATAGCGATTATTTTATTAGAAAACCCAGTACAACATAAATGCGCGAACAGCCTTGACTGACAATGGAATATCCATCTGACACAAAAACATTCTAGGAGACCAAGGACAACATAAATGCATGATCCGTCTTGACAGAGAATGGTATGTTCATGTTAAAATAGTTATTGTTGTGCCCAGAGAAATGCCTGTAAGGAAATTTCATGGGCAAAAGTAAACGTTTTCTCACTTACAGTCACGCCCGCGAAAGATTCCGATGTTCTGAGGAAAGTTGTGCTGCCTTTCTTCAATCTTACCTGACTTCAGTCCGTTTTATAAGTTTATTTCGATTCACTTGTCATGCAATATGTATGCTAAAGACAGTGATTGTTTTTCAGAAACGGATTTGTAGGAAATATTCAGTACTTCTGATCTCTACCGATTAAAAGGTAAAAAAATATAGATATATATATTCAGAGAGATACGTATTTTGTAATTTCTCTAGTTGTTTTGACTCCCTGTTCAAACCTGCCAGCCTGTTAATGATACGAACAAGAAAAAATAATTTTGCGTTATATCCTAACGTGTTTACCATAACAACCCAAGCGTGCAATTTTTATACTATTTTTTTTACTCTCAAACGTCGCCGGAAGGTTTTT